ATATATACATATATATATATATATATATGTATATATACATATATATATACACATATTATATATGTATATGTATATTTGGTAAGTATATGTGTCGAAAAAAAGCATAGTAGCAATAAATTCAAAATAGAATAAAACAAAAAAAATTGTTTAAAGAGAGAAAAGTGAGAAAGAAAAAAGATAAAATAACAAAACCTGAAACGTGTGAAATAAAAATTGTATCTTAACATTGATAAGAAAAAAGTCAAAATTAGAAAAAAGAAACAGGAAAAAAAAAGATAAAGCAGCCAAAAACGTATGAGACATGAACATGAAGTTCAAACAAAAATGTGAGAGCAACCATGATTACGTCTCCGTTTGCGACCCCGATAAAAAATTCTTATCACGCGGGAGACTCAAATATTGTTAATTGTAGAAAAATAATAAATGTCTTACTCACCTCCTGATCCTTGCCTTTGTTCTTAAAGACCTGCATTCGGTTCTTATTTAGCATCGGAACTTCGGCCGCCATTTCTTCAATAACCAATTTCCGTTCTCCCGTAGATCTGTATGCCGGCACGCGGCCGTTGTGCGTTCTTGCGAAACTTTGTGTCCACGTAAAGCCAACTGGATATCTACTTTAATACATTACCAATAATTTGTACTGATCTATTCTGACTTATATTGACAATCGCATTCCAGAATTAAAATGTGCTTATGTATAAACGTCAATATGCACTATCATGCATAACACTGATCACGTAACAATTAGTACTGCCGTAGCTATTCAATGTACAATACAACTCGTTCGATTTCCTTATCGTTGCTCGTCTCAGAGCTTACCTATATTTCGTTTCTTATAATCGCAGTCTACCGCAACCTCTGGTCAGCAGATAGAGATGGTCAAGAAAGAACCAATATGAACGTTGATGAACGTACATACACACATACATACATACTACATATGACGAATAGATGTTTCTAGCGTTCCTAAATATGCAATCAAATGCATTAAGCCCGTTCTACATTGATCGCAAGCGCAAACGCAAGGTATAGATCTCGTAGAATTGACCAATCACGCTGGTCAATTGGATGATTTGATCAATACGATTAGTCAATTCTACCAGACCTGTTTTTTGCGCTTGCGATCAATGTAGAACAGGCTTTAAAGCTCGTATCACACTATAAATTAGAAGTAACTGTTTTTAGATATTTTTTGAAATTTATTAAATCAGATCTATCTAAGTTTACTCGAGATCAGCTTGCGTTGTTTTTATTCGAACGCAAATTTCTAATCAGTAATCTGGATACAGAGTTTTAAGGGTCGTCTACAATGGAGAGTTTTAGACTGTAACAGTAAGAAATTGACAAATCACAATCGATTATTCTTCTGTACTTTGTCTGTGATTGGTCAATTTCTTACTATTACGGCCTACAACTCTCCATTGTAGACGGCTCTTTAAGCATGTTCACGTTGTTAAGAGCCGTCTACAATGGAGAGTTGTAGGCCGTAATAGTAAGAAATTGACCAATCACAGACAAAGTACAGAAGAATAATCGATTGTGATTTGTCAATTTCTTAAGAGCCGTCTACAATGGAGAGTTGTAGGCCGTAATAGTAAGAAATTGACCAATCACAGGCAAAGTACAGAAGAATAATCGATTGTGATTTGTCAGTTTCTTACTGTTACGGCCTACAACTCTCCATTGTAGACGACCCTTTACTGTTACGGCCTACAACTCTCCATTGTAGACGGCTCTTTACATAGAAATCGGACCGATATTTTGAATAGAGAAAGAATTGACCAATCACATCACGAATATTCGTGAATTAAAACAGTATCATTCAATGAGCACAAACTATAAAATCGCCATATTAATTAACAGAACACACACACGTACGTTCAAAAATTCGTCGATACGTAGACAGAGAGAAGACTGAGAGCGGCCATCCTATTGTAAGTTTTTTACGACGGTTTCAGCTGCTGGTTTTAGCGCCATATCTACAAAAGTGGATCTCTGCGATTGGTCAATTCCACGAGATCTGATACTTGCGTTTGATGTAGAACGGCCTTTGAGATCCACTTTTGTGGATATGGCGCTAAATCCAGCGACTGAAACTACAGTCGTAAAAAATTACAATAGGATGACCGCTCTCCGATTTCTCTCTGGTAGATATATAGCAGAGAGTCTTCGTTGTACACGTTTTTTTTTTTTGTTTAACTTGCTCTTTTGAATAAAGCCGGGAATATATAAAAAGAAAAAAACGGATTTAATCGTTAAGGCCTGTTCTACAATACAGTTGTAAGCTGTAAGTCGAAAGAAATTGACCAATCACAATCAATTATTCTTCTGTAATTTGTCTGTAATTGGTCGATTTCTTACGACTTACAGCTTACGACTGTATTGTAGAACAGGCCTAAGCAAATCAAGATTCAGAGATCAAGAGTTTTTTGAACGTAGCTTAAGGGTCGTCTACAATGGAGAGTTTTAGACTGTAACAGTAAGAAACTGACAAATCACAATCAGTGATGCTAGATTTGCCCCGCACTCGCGCATGCGCGTTAATTTACAGCTGAGCGCGCAGTACCGTAGCTATAGGTAACGATGTATGTTTGCGCGCCAAAACCAGGCGTAACCGTAACGTTAACCGGGACCGGCTGTATTATGTATCAAAGTTCTTTTTCTAGACTCAATGATGCAATCATACTAGTCATCAGCCAAACATTATTTTATTTATTATTTATTAATTTTATTATTAAAATTTATTATATGTATTTNTTTATCATTCATTTATAAATTTTTAACACTTTTGTACTAGTCATTTAGCTTTAATTTGTTAATAAATAATTAATAATATTGTTTTATTTTATATTGATTTTTCATTAGTTTTGTTGAGTATTTTTCGTTTTATATAGATTTATTTTTGTTACAAATAAAATCAATTAATTATGTTATTATGTTATGTTTGATATAGACATTATTTTTTGTAACAATAAATATGTTTTGTTTGATGAATACTGGTAAGGTTTTGGCAGATTTTCCTTACCCCTGCAAGGAATCTTGGTATTCATAGTTTCCTGCCAAATAAATTATCTATTATTTTAGTTTTAAAAAATGTGGTTTTGTAAAATTATTTCAGNACCTATCTTTATATTAGAGATTCAATTTATTTACACAATTAGTATTATTGCATGCTACGAACGTATATATATATATATATGTTGTGTTTTCATATATTTATAATTCTATTTTTCTTTGGGGCGACTAAAGACACCAGTTTCACGAACGAATGTAATACTTTACTGGCGCTTTAACCTCTGCGCATGCGCGAGTGCGGGGCAAATCTAGCATCACTGATCACAATCGATTATTCTTCTGTACTTTGCCTGTGATTGGTCAATTTCTTACTATTTCGGTCTAAAACTCTCCATTGTAGACGGCTCTTTACATTTGAGAGAATGCCAGACTATGATTGGTTGATTTGCTTAGGCCCCGATTTCTCCATATCTCCCGGTAGCTATCCTCTGGATATAATTATACAAAAAGATATACTTTATCTTTCAGATAAAATTATCGAAAACTTATCAGAAGTGAAGAAATTGGGCATTAATGCTTAAATTGTTTGTGTGTTCTCGGCTTAAGAGAATTTTATAAACTCTCGTTTAATGCGACGCGGATTTTTGTTGCTTGGTACATTGTTTGTCAACGATAAAATAAAATTCAACATTCCAGATCAACGTTATATTCTTTTTTTAATTTAGGAAAACTTTAGAAATAAAAAAAAATGATTATAGAAGAGTATCTATGTCATTCTAGAAATAATAAAATTTTTGAAACTTTTTTATAAGTCTGTATTTGTACAAAAAACTTCATAAAGTCACTAAAGTTAGATAACATTTCAATTTATTTAAATACTTTATAGCATTTCTTTTACTCATTTTCACATAATAAACTTTGATGTGAAATTGCTCGCCAAAAGCATTGAATTTTAGTTTTTATATGTAAAAAGAAATACAAGTCGATATTAACTCATGACCCGTAACAATAAACTAAAATTTAAAATAAAATTTCGGTACTGTGTGATTGTAAACTTCAGAATGCAGTTGTGAGAATAATGGTAGCCAATGTTGCTATACTTTTGCTATCATATCCATATTTGTGTTTCAATTATTTGTAAACTGATAGTATTGAAGGAAAACCAATTTTTTGCATTACATTTATTTGTAGCAAATATATTTATACAAAGTTTAAAAAAGCGTTTATGGTAACAATTTGGATTACCCCCCAAATTTCTATGCGTAGTAACAGAATGACAAAGCATTATCGAGAAAGAATTATATTATCGCTTTTTTTTTTATAGATGTAAAAACCAGAGTATTTTTACATTATTTCTCTATTTATGTATATTTTATATATATATATATAATAATTTATATATATATATATACATATAATTTTTCTGTTATATGCGCTGTATGGTGCTTCATAATTTTTATTTCTATATTTAGTGTATGTGTATACATACACTTATATGTAATAAATGATACCTCCTACATATATATATTTACATATACTGTAAATATAAAATATACTATACTGTTTACAGTTAGATCTGGATGTCGTTTGATCAATATTTAACATAGCGTAAAGCAACGTTATTTATCTACTAACAAGCTTAATTAGTGTGCATAATTTTAAATACCGTTGTCCAAAATTGCCAATGCTTAAGAAAAAATCTATCACCAGCTTATGTAACCTCATTATGTTACAAAATTATTGATTTTCATTTAATTGATTTACTGCACACAATATGATATAGTAATATTATGCATATATGTAATAATATACAATTTTTTACATTTATTTAAAAATGTAGCTTTTAATTCGTCACATCTAAGAACATTTTACGATGCCCACGCCTCCAATTCTTTAAGATCGTCATCTTCTTCTGGTTTAGTTTCTGTAATTAGAATAAAAAATATAACAAATATTTCGTTCTATAAAAAGCTATGTGCATAAATAGAAGGATAGAAGAATGAGACGCACATGTTTGTGCATCTCATATTCTGCTACATTAATGTGTCTATATAGAAGAAAAGTTAGCATTAAATAAATAATAGTTACTTGTACGAGTTTTGCTCGGTACAACAGGAACTGAAGTCGGCACTGCTGGCAATTCTTCTGTTGTGGTGTCGATACCGAGTAATTCCTTATCGAGCTGTTCTTGCTGAAGCTCCTCTAATTCTTTCTCTAACTCATCCTCATCCGCATCCTGGCCGAATGCTACTGGATTAGATATAGCGTCAGAGATTTCTCTTGCAACATCTTGTTGCTCTGCTATGTCATCCATCATATCGTGCACTTGATCAACATCCCTAAAATGTATATGAAACAAAAAAAAACAGAAAATTTATATACATTTATATGTGTATATCAATTTTATATAAATTGTTCATCATATATATACTAGATCATCTTTCTTGAAAAATTGACACATAAATACAAAAAAGACAGAAAGAAAAAGCTGCCAAGATATAAATTTTTTTACAAAAAAATTGTTTCAATTTTGTAAAGAATCTTACATGTGCTGATGCGCAGCTTTCATTGCATCTGCAGCATTCTTCATGGTGGTAAGAACAGCAGTATTTGTATTAGCACTTTCTAATGCTTCTCTTTGCATTTCAATCGTAGATAGTGTACCATCAATTTGCTGCAACTGTTTCTCATATCGCTTCTTTCTTTTTAGCGCTTGGATAGCAGCTGGGGAACAACATAATCTTTATATTTCCTATTAAACTTTAGTGTATGTATATATACATATATTTGTTGTGACATATGCAATGATAATGTTAAATAGATAACATGCGAGTTGTAAAAGTCAGCAATATAAATTTACAACAAATAATTTTTTACAAAACTAAAACTTAAAAAATGATAGAATATGTCTTTGTGACAGATGTAAAACTAGAGTAAAAATAATAGCAATGTATGTATATATATATATATATACATTGCTATTATTTTTATATACATATATATATGTATATATATATATATATATGTACATATGTATAAAATGCGTATAACACACATATGAGACTCGCAATTATTAAAATTACCTCGCTTATTTTTTGACGCGTTTTTCTTCGCTACTAACATTTCATTGTCTATTTTGCTTTCAAGAAATTCTTGCTTCTTTATCAACATATCTTCTGTCTCACGTAGCTTTTGAATTGCCTCAGCTGTGGAAGGAGCGGCTGCCTCTTTCTTGCCACCAAACACTTTGCTAAAGAAACTCATTTTCTCACTCAATTTTTTTCTAACGGATATTTAGTTAATATTTGACCAAAGTAAAGACTGACAGTGGCCAGGCCCATAAAAGAATGTGTAATCAGAGAGAAGACTGAGAGCGGCCACCAGGCTATACGAGAATGTGTAATCACTTTTCTGCCCTGTAAACCAGCGCAATGTCCGTGGTGGTGCACATTGGCAACTACGTAGCCATGTCTATTGTCTATGAGCGACTAGTCGGTACGTTCGCTATGTTCAAACAGAGAAAAGAACTCAAAATAGTACAGCTCAGTGCAGCTTAGAGCAGCTCCAGTTCAAAGGGAAAGAACAGACTTTTACTGTATTTAGTGATAGTGGTAGACCTTTTTCCTGGATATGAGAAAAACGTGCAAACACATGTTGTCACATGTGCGACGCTCAAAAGTCTTAGGTGAGGCTAACGGCACATTAAACAAGACATAAGATCTATTACAAAATATGTATATTTAATTATATATATATATATATTTAAACACATATATAAAGCAACAAGTTTTAAAATAAAGTGAGTATTGTTAAAATTCCAAATAGAAAAAAAAAGAAGCAGAGATGAGTGCAAACGAAGACAGAAAGCAAATACAAATCCGTCTGCAGACCGAGCAGTTACAGTAAACTACTTTTCTCAATTTTTTATTGCTTTATTTACACGCCGATTGGCAAAACTATATTTTGTCTTGATTGATTTCAGATATCCGCTACCAGAATATGCTTTGACAGTGCACAGCACAATAATACCAAAAGAATTAAACACGTTAGTAAATAAATTTCTAAAAGGTAAGGAAAAACTCATTTGCTAAATATATTTTAATTTTATTAAATAATTGATTTTATTTTTTAACTATTTTCAGACTCAAATACTATTCAGAATGATGTGGAATTTGAGTTTTTGGTATGTGGACATTTCTTGCGTACTTCATTGATTGAACATACTGAGGAAAGAAAGATCTCCACAGAAGATGTGATAAACATTGTGTGTATAGAAAAATTATCCTCACCACAGCCAAAGGATTGTTTGATACATGATGACTGGGTGTCAGCAGTTGCTAGCAATGGAAAATGGTTATTTGTTTGTGTATTTATGCCAAAAATAGGAGAACAGATGAAAATCAAGTAAAATTGATTTAATTATCAAAAATTTGTATTCTAGGATCTTGACCGGATGTTATGATAACACATTACACATTTGGACATCCAAAGGCAATCACTATGGAGTGATTAATAAACATACACAACCTGTAAAAGCAGTAGCATGGATTTCTCTCAATGATGACAATGCTTGTTTTGTCAGGTATTCACATAAAGTTTTGTATAACGTAAAAGATGATCAGTGATTATAATAAAACAATTTTATATACACTCACAGTGCATCTATGGACCACACATGCATGATATGGAGTTGGAATATAAAAGAAAATACTACAAAATGCCTGCATGTCTGCAGAGGACACAAAAGAAGTGTGGAATCTCTCAGTGTTAACTATGATAAAACATTAATGGTGACTGGCTCCTGGGACAGCACACTTCATATATGGTCAACTTGTAAGTAATCTAATATAAGAAATATCTTTTTAAATCTTTTATCTCTTAAATTACATTTTTATTAAATTTAATTTTTGAATGTGAGTTCTAAAAATGAAACATTTGTGTTAATTCAGCTGCACAAGATGATGATAATGAAGAATTCGAATCGAAAAGAGCAAAGTCAGATCAAGAGAGCAAACTTAAGGTATGTACATCAATTGAAGATGAAAAATTAAAGTTTCATCTTAACGCATTTATTTTGCATTTTTTATCTTACATGCAGGTTCCGAAGCGCACTCTAAAGGGACACAAGCAATCAGTCAGCCAGATTGTATGGTCCGACAAATCAGAAATCATCACAGGATCTATGGATCACACGATAAAAATTTGGGATTTAGAACTTGGTGGCATCAAACATGAAGTTTACGCTGACAAATCCATTCTGGACATCGATTACTCACCTTTGTCGCGCACCGTGATAGCGGGATCGGTCGATCAGCATGTGAGGTTGTTTGATCCGAGATCTACAGGTGCGAAGCAATAAGCAATGACGGTTTTTTGTTTTTCATTTTTTTCTCTTACAAAATCAAACGACTTTATTAATAAGATTTTTATTAACTATATATATATATTTCTTTAATCCTTTTATCCATAATGATGTGTTTTAGAGGGCACGATTGTGAAAGCCAAGTTTACTTCCCATGCAAATTGGGTTTCCACAGTACGCTGGTCAACCGTTGACGAACATCTCTTCATTTCGGGCGCGTATGACAATCTAGTTAAACTTTGGGACACGAGAAGGTTGGTCACAAATCATAACGTTATAAAAAAAAAAAAAAAAACAGTTTCCAAACGTTATACTAGAAAGCGGACACTTTTTTGAAAATTTTCTTTATAAAGTTTGAAATATTTCTTAAATTTTTGATGTAGATATATGTTTGAAAATCGAATGGCGATTCTATATTACTACAGTTACAAAAAAATCACAATTAATATGTCAATATTTGCTTTCAGTCCCAAAGTACCACTATTCGATCTTATCGGACATGAAGACAAGGTTCTCAGTAGCGATTGGTCGAATCCTAAACAAATAGTATCCGGTAGTGCGGATAACACCCTAAGGATATTCAAATCTAAACACACGACGCGCTAATTCACGAAATTTTTGATAAAATTTATTGTAAAGACCAAAAATTTTCCGCAAAGTTAAAAGTTTTTACTTGGACAATGTGCATGCAGGACGTTTGCTATCTGGAAAAACTTGGAATTCACCAAGAAATGTTATCCCGATTTGACGATAAAATTGAAGAAATCTGAGAGATATTCTGTAACGGATAAAAAAGTAATAACAAAAGTTTATAAATAAAAATAGGATCTATCACATTGATGAGAAAACGCATTTATTTCTGGGATCACTTTCTCCTCTTCTTTTTCCGTTTTCTATGTTTTCCTCGAGGAGGATTGCGCCGGATAGGTGAGAAGTAAGACTCGTCTCGCTCGGCATTAATCCCCAAAACAGATCGTTTATTGATCAAAAATAAGGGACGATAATCGTGACGAAATCCGGGAATTCGCTTTCCCGCATCGCGAAGTTTATTTTAATTACGTTACCAAACCGTTTCTTCATTACTCGTAACTCTAAAAAGACCATCCGATTTCAAGTGCACGCCCCTAATAAAAGAGACACACAGAAGAGAAGTGTACGTAATAATAGCACAAGAGTGGCGGAGAGAGCGTACACCCTCGCAATAAGTGCGCGTCATTTCTTGTCCATTTTCTTTTTTTTCCTGTGCAAGTGTACGCGTAGGTGCATGCTGCAGTCTCTATCTGTATTTTCGAAATACGCATTATATCTCCTACTCCACTTTTCGGAGTTTCCGCATACACCCAATGTACATACACGCGCGCGCACTCTCCTCTCGCTCGCACTCTCTCTCTCTCTCTCTCTCGTCGATCTTTCTGCTCTCATAATGATCATCGCGCGATTCTCTCTTTTCTTCCTTTTTCTCTCTTTTTTTTCTCCTTTTTTTATAGGTTTGTTTACTTGTTTAGTCTCCGAGAAAATCCTACCTAAAAACCCTCACGTTATCTCTCACACAAAGACTAGCGTTTTTTTAAACGATCCAAAATAAACTAAGGGCACTTTTTAGTGGCTTATGCCCCTTGTGTCATCGTCGCGTGTTTTACGTTTTTTTTTCCGCACGTTCTTCTCTCACTTCGCGAGCATTTTTCATTTTTTTTTTTTTTCGTTTTTTTCTTCTTTATTCATGAAAAATCTAATTCTGACTTATTTCTTGTGTTAAACTTTGTTTTATTACAGCACCTATTCGACTTCCTAAGAGTCTCCCTAGATTTCTTAACTAACTATGACACAACTTGCCTTAACGTCTAAAGATTTTTTTTTTTTTTTTTTCACATTACATGCTAAAAACATTTTCGCATCTGTCTTAAAAGTATTTTCGAAATTCTACAAATTGATCCTTGCGCGCGTGGATTTACAAAAAGAGTTTCAGCGTTTATCGACGACATCGTAGTTCCCCGTTTCTTTTTTTTTTTTTTTTGTTTTTTTTTTTTTTATTCTTTTATACGCTTTTCTTCACTCTCTTGTCAACATTTGGAAAGACGATGCAAAATAAGCGGCACGCACGGGCTACGTGTCTTACGTTTTTTTTTTTTTTTTTTTTTTTTTATCGTTCCATTCTAGAATTACATTACAAGATTTCCGCTTTCCTTCGCGAGTTCGTTCGCCGAACAAGAAGGACAAGGCGGAATACAAATGCAAAAAAAAAGAGGAGAGGGGAGGGATCGGATAACCACGATGAGATTACATCGGGCCGGGGGTACAAGGAAGTGTATAGATAGAGGAAGAAACCAAGATGTCGAGTAATACAACTATGTGGCTTAACAAACACGTGTAAAACAATGACTTAAAAACTTGAAAAACTAAGGACTGTACAAGACGATGATCATCTAATCATCACGGACCTCGTTTTATCATTAATTAATTCTCTCTGTCTTACACACGCATACAGATATCCAAACACACATACACGCACGCACGAAACAGGCGCATTTTGTCGCTTTCATTCTCTTAAGCCGATCTCGACTAACGTTATTTTACTTAAAAACATCCTACATTTTTTTTTTTTTTTTTTGCTTCCTTCCTTATCAATCAGTTCCTCTTACTTCGCCTCCCCGTTTCTACAATCAACCTATCAATTACGGTATGTCTAGACTAAAAAGTGCCTAACGCTAAAACTCTAAGAGAAAGCTTTTTTTTACGGAAAAGCAGCAATGTCCGCAGCAAGAACCGTTTCTCTTCTGCGAAAAACTTCCCCGGTGGCGTTCGATCGCAGAAGCTCGCAAGTTCAAAGTTGCGTTAGAAGCAAAGAATCGTACAAGCAAAAAAAATTCATATGATTCTTCGCTTCTGACGTCACACAGTCTGTGCTGAGGAACCAAGAGCCATCGGGATCGCTCCCGAAATCCAAACTCTTCGTTCGGAGTGATATCAACACTTTTACAATGCGTTGTTGCAAAGTGTTCTATTTTTTTCCTAGATTAGAAAAAAATTCTTCGGCGTGCGATCCCATGAGCTCCCGCAGCCTGTATCGACAAATTTAAAAAAAAAGCCCACCCATCCGGCCAGCCCACGCACCCGACCCGCGGTGCGCAGCAAGCAAATAGTTCCTTACTATTTATACAATTATACAAGTAGCTCAATATATATATATGCTGTATAGAATAATATATATATATATATATATATTTATCAATATGAATAGCCAGTCAGTCTTGACGGGTGCGAGGTGCATAGGCTGAACGGTGCCCCGTGCCCGTGTCCTCCTATGGCCCGTCGACAACACACAGAATTGGGTGAGGAGGACACGGGGGATAAGAGAGGCGTATCGTAGTGTTTTCCTAACTACTAATGCTAAACTATTGTTTCTACTTATCTGTCTACCTACATATGAACTTAGCCGCATCTTAAATCGATAAATCGCCCTTTTTTCCTTGTATGTATATCTCCTAAATCCGAGCGAGTGCTCGCTCGCTCGTGTGTTTGCTTAACCTAGGGTTGGTTATCTTCTTCATCAGTTCAACTCTATCTATCGCGTAACACGTCTCTGCGTTCTCTGTACATTAATAACTATACTCTCGATCGCTCTTTTTTTTCCTCCTTAATTCTCGCTTGCTCATTCACTAATTTTTCAGCCGCCTATTTCTTTTCTTTCCCGCGGAATCTGTCTGTTTTATTACATCTGGGGATGCTGGACGCATGACACAAACTTGCGTCCGTCATCCTCATTTTTTTTTTTTCTTTCACGTTTCCCTCTTCCAAATCAATCGGCGCAACTAATTAATGCTGCTCTGTAACTCGTGTTCTCCCTCGTTCTTCTTTTTTTTTTTTTTCGTTTGGTCGGTCGCAATAATTACTTTAGTGTTATTCTTTTAGTATACAAGTCTATTTAGTAAAATTCTCTCTCAAAATTTACTATTAAAATCACATGTGGATTTTTTGTCAGTCAAATGGTGACAATTCTCGCTTTGTGCAACAAATACACAAAATACGCATTCGCTAGTAAGTGCTCCTCTCTCTCTTCCTTCCTCCCTCCCTCTCACTCGATCTTTCTTTCTCTGACTCGTCTTCTTCTCATCCTCTCCCATCTTTCGCTCGTTCTTTCTCGCTCCTCTCTTTCTCTTTCTCTCTCTCTCTCTCACACACACACATAGATCTTCTCTCATATGTACTCACACCACTCTCTCTTCAACAATTACTCTCTCCCTACAATTCTTTTACTTTGCCTTAATGCGTGGACTCAATCGAGTAACAAGTCTGTCTGTTAAAAAATAGCTCGTACTCCATCTCTCTACTTTGTTTTTCTTCGTCAATTTTTTTTTTTCAATTTATCTATCTCTCTCACTTTCACACACATTCTCCCTCTCGTTCTCGCTTTCTCATCATCAAATCGTGATGTACCAAAATAAACTAAATATATTATTTACTTCACAAGTTTCAACAGTGTAAAAATCTTTCATACGTTTAGATGACGTCAATAATAGTAAATCGTTAATTATAATAATACAGCGCGTTATTATTGTAATGTATAATAATAACTATATATATTTATATATATATATACGCGACTCGCCTCTTTCTTTCGCTCATTCTTTCTTCTCTCTCTCTCTCTTTCTCTCTCGCTCTTTTTCTCTTGTCTCGTAAAACTTGATCTACTACTCTATCTGTTCGCTGCCATCGTCAACACTTTTCTTTTTCATCGCTTTTGTGTTATATGAGTAGCTCACAGCTTTCACGTTTTTTTCTTTTTTTTTTTTGTTTTTTTTTGGTAAAAAGCTTTTCCGCATTCTCTCTCTCTCTCTCTTTCGCTCTGTCACTCGTCCTGTCACTCCGAAATCAGACAATGCGAAACTCCACTAGATGCACAATGTGATGAACTTCGGGAAGGAGGTATTCGGGAAAAAAGGGAGGAGATGGAGATCTTGTTGGACGCAGGTGTAATGTGAAGAATAATCAAGACTTAAACGGAGCAACACGGTGGGTTTTTAATGATTTCAAAAAATGATATACGCATACTTTTGCAGTGATCTTCAAATTGTTGAGAAAATATACTCGTTTCAGTAGATACAATCATCGCGCAAGTCGCAACGCGCCGTTTCTAAGATTTCCATCTCTTTCTAAATTGAACCGTCCGAGTGACCATCAGACACAAATACAAAAAGTTACTTCATTATTTATTTACAACTATGAATATTTAACGTCGAAAGATGACAAATGGATCGTCTCGATTACTCTCCCCTCGGTGTGTGTTTGCATGTGTGTTTGTCTGTATATATACCTGTGTGTATATTGTGTGTTTGGTATAGATAGATGCACCTGTTTTTACTCCCTATCCTTCTCTGACAGCAGTGCACTTTCTCACGACAAAATAAATTAATTTTATATTATATCTTGTAACAAATCTACACCTTTTCAATTTTTTTCTTTTTTGCTCTCATTTTCATTCATTCTCTCTTTCACTCAAACATACTCTCTTTGCGTCACACACATACATCACCATCTATCACATTTTCACAATCGTACCTTCTTTCGTTACCTCTCATTCTATCTTTCAATTTATCGTAGTTTGATTTTTCGAACTTTTTCTTGTTCTGTGTGTTATCGTTTTATTAATTTTATTACAAATTGTGTTCATAGTAAATGTGTGTGTGTTAAGCATCATTTCCACTTTTTTTTCATAATATTTCGTTATTAATACATGCAAATATATGTCTATCAAAATATATCAAATTGACAACAAAAACAGATTTAGAAACATCTAACGCAAAAACAATTACAATAACTATAAAATCAAAATTTTACTTACTATCTGATTATAGAACTGCATACAGTCGTAAACAGAAAAATTGACCCATTTTTTTTGATAAATTTTTAACAAAATTTTATCGAGAAAAAAGTGTCAATTATCTTGCTTACAACTATACTATAAAATATATTATAACAATTTTGTCTTCAAATTTTTAGCAGTTTTTTCACCATGTGTGTTATTTTCTCATAGATCAATATGAAAAGGCACAATTCCAAAAAAAAAATAAATATGTGTAATCATTAATATAATGATCTAAAAATGCTTTCTCTTTTCACTTTTCACACAATAATGATTTGTAGTTTATTCTGAGAACTTATATAGAACTTTTACTTTATATAGTTTTTAAAACAAAAAATACGAAGTTTTACAATTCTGTTTTTTTCCCCGATTTAGTTTGAAATATTTATTTCCACAAGTTTCTCGTTATTAAAAACAAAACAAAAAACAAATTTAATGTGAAGTAGTATTAATTTATACTCGTAAAAAGTATTCTCAATTAAAAAATATCTCGCGTTCTAATATATATCCGACTTGGAATGTCTCTCAACGTAAAAAAAAAACCAGAAAAGAAAATACAAGAATAAATAAATAAATTCGACAAGCCACATAAACTGACAAGAAGTAATAAGTATTCTTGAATCTGAATCTGTACGCTTACTTGTATGTGAAACGGACGAAGTGTGCACATTTTCGATCAATATATACCGTGAACAGAAAAGTTTGACACTTTGTTTTTGATAAGTTTGACTTTCTCTGAAATTCACCGAAAACACAATTGTCTGAACTGTTCTCTTCACGACTACACGCTGTCGTCTCTGGAAGATTTATATGAAGGTTTGTGAATTGAGCATCTCTTTCTTGAGATTTAAAGTCATAATTATGCATTCTCGAATTTTTCCTTTCAATGTGTAAACATCGTCAATTCTAAGATTTCTAAAAATTATATATTGTTATTTTTTCTCATTCTTTCTCGCTTGAACTCGTCATCTCTTTTCTTCTTTCATTATATTAACATTACTTTTATTTCGTTCGGAAGAATTCTTTTATGTATTTCTATCCGGTATCTTCTCCCTTTTTCTTGTTTTCTCGTAAACGTACACACACATTCTTTCTCTTGCACTTTTTAAAATGCTTATTTCATACTCGCAGAACTCTCGAGATCATTATCGATAAGTTTCTGTCATCAGTTTCCTAATAAGTTTAATACCTAGTAAAATATAATTATGGAAGCCTATTATCTTGACACTCTAATCTTTCCTAAACTTAGATTTTTGTTACACTGTCATTATGGATGTGTTGTGTGTTTATGTGTGTATGTGTGTGTCGCTGAGCATATCTTTGCGTGTATAGGGAGAGCGTCATGTTGCTGTTACAGCTAGCTTTAAACAGTCGTAGTGATGCGGAAACTCGTGTCCGTCTGCATGGATAACACATGGCCATTCTCGTGTTCTCTCTCTTTTTAACTTCTCTGTTCTCCCTCTCCCTCTCTCACATTCTTTTTCCTTCGCGCACTCTTACTCTCACACATTCTCTCGCACATTCATTCTTCCTACTCGTTGCAAAATATCAACTACTTTCCCCTATTTACTGATGGATAAAACGTATAAAACACGGCAAGTCAATTTATCATGAGGAAGAATCTTAATCAGTAATGTTTTTTGTTTCAAATCTATCTTCTTAATGTACTTCCGTCTCTCGTCTGTTGCTCCTTCTTGCTCCAATGTATCCTTCGTACATCAATCAGCATGCCTTTTTTCTAATTTATGAAACTTTTAGCGCGATCGTATATCTGTAATCGAAACACATTTTTTCTTGTTTTTCTTATAATAAGCTTATTCAATCTTTTACTACAAAGTGAATAGATAGATCATAATAATTATATGTGGAAAGACATGACAAAATCACGAACCTACTATAAACCGTGGCCTACTTAGGCTGTTGAGCCTGATACTGTTGATAGGAGTCATCAGGAGATGCTGCATTACTCGTTTGTTCTGACTCACCCAGAGGCATCGTATGGATGATGTTGGGTGCGGGGTAAGTGGTGTACGGATAAGGATGTGGGCTCGCTATGTACTAAAAAAAAAACAAGGAATAAGAAAACAATTAGTTTTCGATTACATTTTTCAAAGTTGTGCATATTCGAATAATTTTTTGTCACACATATACTTTTAGCAATGACTAAAAAACGTTAATAAATTATAACTACTTACGGAACCAGTTCCGAGATGTAATGTAGACATTTGCGTGGTCAATTGAGGAATCATTCCGTATGACTGGGGATTGCTAGGGTCAGCTGACGGTATAATCTGTAATAAACAAATCGACAAAATGAAGAAAATACGATTATGATGTACAACGCATCTTCCACGAAAACATAAATTTATAAAATAGACAAAAAAAAAAAAAAAAAAAAACACTTAACGCGTGATTAACTCAAGGATACATTGGTTAAAATTTTGTGACATGCTACTCTTTCAAATCAATATTTAATTCGAGATATTTTCAGTTGTATTTTTTTCATACAAAACGACAAAAACAAAATGAACGAAAAGTGTACAAAAACTCACGTCAACCTGTTGCATATGTGGCGGGGAAGGATGCAGCATGTAAGGACCCACCCAAGGAGCGCCTGGCACGCTATAACCCGGTAATGCCTGGCCATAGTGGCGACTATATTGCGTCAGAGTCGCTGCGGGAAGCATATGAGTCGCAGCAACGCCATTCTGACCAACGCCGCTCGTGTCATAATTCAAAGTCATGTTCTGAAAAAGAACGCACAAATAACAAAAAGTTTTATTACACCCTTACTGATATATACAAAAAAGAGTATTATTCTGTAAAATAAAAACAAAACAAACACAAAAAATGATTATTTATTTAACACGTTAAGTGCTACGTCGGTCTCTAAGAACCAATATTGGGCTTATTTTTACATTATATACTCACGCGCCGCTTAAACAAAAGGTCGACGCAAAACGGCGTAGCGTGTAATTAACACTTAACGTGTTAATTATAACACATTTAAGATATATTTTTATATTTACAATAAAATTAATAAAAATAATAAATAACATAAAAGAATATACATACGTCTCCGGTTTCTCTCCATATTGAACCTTTGAACAATGCCTTCTTTTTGTTACCACCGTCAGCAAACTTAACTAATAACGGATCCTTGGCACCTGGAAGCGCCTTACCGTTAAAAATTTGTATAATTTGTTCACATTTTTCTTTGGATTCCATTCTGTAATTATTAGAAAATGTCTCATGAATTACAATGCACGATCAAGAACAGTATTTAATAGGATATTTTATTTAGAAAGTTTTCAATTATAAAACGATAAATGTCCATATAGCCACACAATATAAAACAACACTTTTATTATTTCTAAATTGTAAGTAACATTGATGATCTATCGTACATACAGCGATATTAAGCAACGTATAAGGAGACGCGCGCTCGCAAAAACACATTATTCTCTTGTAAAGAAGAAGATATAAGAATATTAACTCTCTCTCTCCCACATGTTATTACCGTAACAATATAATAATATTTTCTCTTACTTTTTGTTGTTAAAATAAATCTTGCATCAACAAACGCTACTTAAAGAATAAATGTATTAATTTATTTTGAATTATGCGAACCTTGCAAATCCAACACCTTTGCTTTGTCCTGATGTATCGCGCAAAATACGCGTGGAAATAACTTGACCATATTGAGCGAGAAGCGCTTCAACATCATTTTCCTTAAAGGTGAGCGGCAGATTGGCGATGTATAAATTTGTGGGATCCTGCTCCTGTTGCTGAAGAAGAGAATAAAAGTACTATGCAATTACGTATAATAGAGCGATACAATAAATTTATAACGATAATTTTGAACAAATCTGAGCGAAGTATCATTTTAACTTCCACGACTGTTGCTACATCGTCGCTATGTGTTATCGATCATCAAATGGATGCACAGACGAAACGAAAATGATAATGCATATGTGTTCTCACAAAGACCATTTTCAATTATTTAATAATAACATATTTGATATAATAAAATAGTCTGGAATGTTAAAATGATATTTGTGTCAGCTGAATACTCATTAAAATATATTTGTAAAGACATTTATGTATATATCGAAACAATTAAAAACAAAAAAGAAAAAAAAAAGAAAAGAACGCTTCTAGCTATATAACGACGGATATTTTTGAAAAAGTGAATTCTCTCTGAAATACAACGTAACGTATTTCTACACACTGACTACAAAAAGACCATCAAACTATATCAGGAATCGTCGCCTAAATCTCGAAAGAGTGCAAAATAGAACGAACGGATATTAGAGACCGATGCCGAAACTTGTGTATGTGTATATATGTGTGTTTGTTTTGTGTGTTGGGGAGAAAAAAAAACCGGCTAGATATAATTTTCAGTATTGAAAAGTTATCACATGCTTCATGGCAATTACGTTACCACATTCTGGTGGCTCTCTAAATTTGCTTGTTTCCAGGATGCATTCGATTTATCCCCCTCGACTAAATAAACAACCCGCTACATGTAGTAAATTTTTAATATTCTCTTCAATTTCGAATTTACCGCGCCCAGACATGCTCATATATAAAACGGTATATATTGTATTGTATAAACATACATACATATAATGTATATATATGTATACACACATGTATATTATCATACAGTCGTATTAAAAATGTTTGCGTGAAAATTTCGCATCGAAGAATTATATCGATTCTACAAACAAACCAGAATAAAACAGATCTAACAGAAATAAGAGCAAGAGTAAGTAATAGATAATAATCAAACAATTCAACTAAATTTGATGACAAAAGATGAAACAAAAGATGAAACTACGACAAAACTGATAAGTGTTTGTCGCAAACTTTGGAACATATCTAAGATACAAAAATATATTGTATTTGCCATGTTTGTGGAAAACATATTGTTTTTATGGTATATTTTTATGGTAAGTTAAAAGTAAAAACTCAAATGCATACATCGCCTGTGCATACATTTCGTCGCGTTCTATATTGACGGAAATTAAGCGAATTTTCTCGTATGTTATGCGACATCACGTTGAACACGTAAGTAAAATTCGAATGTTCGTTTGCGCAATATTTCTCTCGAATTACCTTGTTTCAAAATTTTTTACGCAACTGATGCGATAAATACGTTACAGAATGTTTACATAACGAATTTCTCAATATTCGCAAGACTTAAAGCAAAAATACTTATACATAAACATATTTAACATTTAATAGGGTAACCGAACCTATAGTTAGCACCCTCCCAATGATTGGTACTTATTGATTTTTTTTAAATTGTTAACATTTTTGTCTATGGTTACTTTTTACTTGACGTTATAGTAAACTTAATTTGGATTTTTTATAGCAACATTACTTTTGAGTTTTCTTTAGAGTTGGTACTCTTGAATATATTCTTGAAAAAAACAAAAAAACAAAAAAATAAAATTTAAAAAAATAAAAAAAATAAAAAAACATTTGACAGATCTTTAAAGTGCCAGTCATTGGGCTTAAAGTGCCAATCATTGGGTGTTTTACCCTATATTATTATTTTCTAATATTATGTACACGTGTCGAGAGAACCGTATCTCCATCGTTTTTTACAGATAACCATTCAAAGCAGTAATGAAGAACAGGTCCAACTAACACATGACATTTTATTAGGGGGAGGGACAGAAAGAGATAGAGAGAAAGAGAAAGAAAGAGAGAGAGAGAAAGAGAGAAAGAGAGAAAGACAGAAAAGCGTGGTAAGGAAAAGCACAGGCAGTTATACATATATACATACATATATGTATATATAATTACACCGTATAAATAAATAAACATACGTGGGGAGAAGCGAGACTTTGGACGAATAGATAGATCTCGCATAAACACATAATGTATGTGAAGTATATAACCGTACATATATATATATATGTGTGTGTGTGTGTTCATGCTTCGGACTTATCGTTGCAATCCCACACAAAAAAAGTAAAGGACAAATTGAGTTGAAGTAACCAAAAAAGTAAAGGACAAATTGAGTTGAAGTAACCAAAATAAGTAAGAATAAAGAGAAGAAAATAAAACAATACAAAAAAAAAAAGAAAAAAAAAGAAAAAAAAAGAAAGTTTGTGAGATAGAAATATGTACGTATTCGAAGATTGATGAGACATTTTTGTGTGCACCCTCAAGCATATTTCGAGATCCACCACACTTCTGACCAACCAATCAATCTATCAATCAAAATATCTACGATTACTTGAATATACTTATACTTTACGACAATTTACTTCAATCTTGCGAATGCATTAAAACAAAAAAACGAATAATGAAAATACCATGATATAAGCTAAGCTGATGGTATTATGTATATATATATATATCATATATAAAAACATATATACAATATGTGTGTATGTCTATATGTTATATACATGTGTACGTCACTATTCTCGTTAATAAGGAAAACAACCGTACGTGAATAACATATAGACTTGTAAACATATATGTGTATATGTATATATATACTATACATACATAAATATATGATATATATATGCGTACGTCATGTATCTGAACATGTAACACGTGCGCATATACGTATGTATGCAGACTGTCGCAGAAAATAATGTGTTACTTTTTTTTTTTTTTTAAGTAAATTTCTTTGTATAAACACACTTTCTATTGTGTTTTTACTTGTAGCGTATCTATTATTAATTATTCATCATTTATTCTGCGACATCCGTTATATATGAATGATCAAGTATATACAGTAGAAGCTTGATTATCCGAGTGCTATTTAATCGATTGTTTAAGTCAAACAATGCAAAGCAAGTATGATTATTTGATACTTTTTATGTATACATAAACAAAACGCTGGTAAACAAACGTTCCTTACAGTGTTTGAGCAATCGTTCGAATGGCGAATTCGGATAATCGAGCTTTTACTCTCTGTATTACATCTTACTGTACTATTATTCCGATACATCAGTTTACAGATGTCAAAAACACGACTACTGCATCGAGAATGTCGCATAAGACTCGACGCAGTTTTCGTCTTTTTTTTTTCTTTTTTTTTTTTAATTTATTTCATCTCTGTGGCTCTGCGACTATAGTTAACGCATTGTGTGTATGTATTAATTTAATACACAATGTGTATTTAATACAAATATATATACACAATGTGAACATTGAACAGATATTTATGTTGATTATTTCATATGATGAATTTATATAACTTAGCAATATACGTGACTAATGTTCAGGTATTCAATTTACGTAATTTCACCACATATTTCTTACGAATTTACTTTTTCGAATTGCAATTTGTCGTAAAATTCTAAATAAGATGCTCAAACTTTTGTTAAGTGTATATAAAATAAATGTACGTGTTTATCGGAACTAGCCACTTCCAGCCTTTTTAGAAAAACGTCTGATGTCATCGCGTTACGTATCTCTTCGAAATATTAATCGTGAAATATAATATGAATTGCATTCTTTTTTTACTTTGTATCATTACGTGCGACTGACATCATCGTCATTAATACCATTATCACTATAATAATAATTATTATCATTATCATTATCATTATTATTATTATTATTATTATCAGTATCATCATCATCATCATCATCATCATCATCATCCTCATCACACATCCCGTGCTTTTACCACGGCCAACTTAAGAGGAACCATTCCATTGGAGTTAGTTGTACATAGGCAAATGATACAAACAGGAGGGATGCCGATACTCTAACGTTCGACAGTGTGTTTTCTTTTTGTCATTGTTGTCTTGACGAGGAGTTCAAGTAAAAAAAATCTAGCATTAAAATGTGCTTAACTACTGCGCAAAGAATGAAGACGGAATCAATTTTTCGATCAACTAGTGTGATCGATTTAATGAATATGATTAATAAATTGACTAGAAAATCGCGAATGAATTCAAAAAAGATTATTCTTTTACTATGTTTTTTTTTACTATGAAGAAATAAAACGATCACACCGCCGAACACCGCTATCGAGTCGACATGGACGAGTCTAATTTGGTAACACGAGTTGATTTTAAGGTAGTGGCCTCTTCGGATCGCTAACGTTATTGCACGAAGAATATAACGAATGAATGTACACACACGTTACATAATATATTGATATTACCATACTAAAGCTACTAGATACTGATACGTCGTTTATGCTGCCATACTTCAATACAAAACTTTTTTTTTTTTAATTTTCTTTGTTATTATATTGTGCAAGACTTAATATTATTTTAATATTCTAGAAAACCGATGTTTATGAACCAGTCTAAATTATGAGACAAATTATTGAATCTTGAATATAGGAGAAATGGAAATTAATGCTGAAATACGTAAAATGCAATTTCCGGATACAACGTTTGTAACATTGTGTCGACATAGCATAGTATCGGCTGCATTTGTGGCCGAGGTATAGCAGCAAGCACCTTGAGGTCTGGTAGGTAAGGTATGTAAGACAGAATGACAGAGACAAAGTATGGAATTTGAGAAATGAAAAAGGTAAAGAAATAAAAGAGAGAGAGAAAGAGAGAGAGAGAGAGAGAGAGAGAGAGAGAGAGAGAGAGAGAGANAGAGAGAGAGAGAGAGAGAGAGAGAGAGAGAGAGAGAGAGAGAGAGAGAGAGAGAGAATGAGAAAGAGAGAGACAGAGAGAGAGAAAGGTTTCTAACGGAAAAATTATTATAGTCAAATATACACGTCGTTGTCCATAGAATTTTCCAAGTGAATTAGAAGTGTTAATATAAATTATATATTAAAGATAAGTGATGTTGTGTTTATAAAAAAAAAAGAAGATAATTTTTTATTTATGATAAATTCTTCTGTATAGAAATATAAAGTAAAAATTATAAATAAAAGTTATCAAGTAAAAACAATATCTTTTCCAGCATATAAACGAGAAAGTATGAAATTAAAAAAGTGATAATAATACGATTTACTGTGTACTATGAACTAAATATGTGTTTATAATTTATCACACACTTAATTGCACTCAGAAATAGTATACAAAGAAAAACAAATTGAAAAGTCAATCTATCCTGATTGGCTTCGTCATAAGACCTCGTGAATAAATTGCGACGAGAACAAATCAAAAACGCAATAGACAGAGTCGTGTAGAAAACGAGAGAAATGATCAAAAGTGATAGAAATAGAAAGAAAAGAAAAGAAAAGAAAAGAAAAGAAAAGAGAGAGAGAGAGAGGTAAAGAGATAGAGAAAGAGAGAGAAAGAGAAAGGTTTACTGTTACTCTGGTATTACTCTGTACTTGCATGCACAACCACGTACACTGTCCAGTCTACGGAGCAACCAGATACCCACTTTCGCCATCTGCGCCTGGATCCCTTTGGCGACCAGTGCTTTCACAGCACCCTCTGCCGCCATCGGTGACTCGAAGTCTACAAAGCCGTAGCCTGAAACAAAAAAACAATAATATAAGTTTCATCAATTTTTTCAAAAGTTTTCAAAGTTGAGAGAGATATATATTTTTTACATCTCAATCATTACTTAGTAAAGCTAGTTTTAAATTATGTTAATGACAATATGTATAAAAATAAATACAAAAAAATATATCGTTTAATTTTAATTTTTTAAATTATAAGAATTTATACAATTAGGAAGAAAAATAATCGAAATAATAAGAGTTTAATTAAACTTAAATTAAAAAACTAATAGTATTAAAAAACACAAGTATTTAATTACCTTTACACTTATTTGTATTCTTGTCCAAAATTGCCTTGGTCGATGTTATCGTTCCATATCTGCAAAAACATCGGATGCATGTACATTAACATATTTAAATTAACTTAAAATTTTTGTTAAAACACAAATATCAAGTATATTCTAATTGATAACTATATTAGTTTTTATTTATATTTAAATAATGCGCATATTCTTGGCAAAATGCTTTTCTTTACAACAAAATTATATATATCCGCGACAGAGAAAAAACTGACCGATGAAAGATCAAGTGTACAATGTTACTTACTGAGAACACATGTTAACAAGATCTTTATCAGTTGTATTCTGATTGAGGCCACGGATGTAAAGGTTTGTTTTGGACAACTGTTCCGCTTGCTGTCCCTGCATTGCGTTGTTGCTTAGACTCGTACTTATTGTACCACTCTGACTCCCGGTGGCACTGCTGGAGCTGCTGTTAGTGTTTGCCGGTGACGAAGCCGTGGCGCGCTGTCCACCATACTGTGAACATCATTACGTTATCAGATAAAATATACGAAAACAGCTCCAGAACAAATAATTTCATTAAAAAACTATTTGATTTCTAAGCTAGTAATTATTAATCGATTAACAATGTATATTACACACAAATTTGTGTGGTAACAGAGTGAGTTGTAGTATCGCGTTGTGAAATTAGCATATTGTTTGTAAGAGATTAATGTAAGTGATATATAATCGTGTATTTATGTACACTGAAAACGTGAAGTTGGCTTTCCCTAACTTCTATTAACTGTCAGTTTTTACAGTTCTATCCATCCATTTTTCTCTCTTTGTTTCTCAAGAAAAAGAAATTTCGAATTTTTATAAAAAGTAAAACTTTTATCAGCCATAAAGATTCGGAAAATAGCAAATTAACATTGCAAAGAGGTGATTTATGTAACGTGTCAAAAGAACATATCAGCTGTGAATTTTAAGATATATAGAAACTATAACATTTAACTAGTTTAACGACGATTTATTTCATACTCATAGGGCTTACTTGTACAAATGTTTTCTTACCATGTAAGTACTGATATTTTTATCGTACTGAATTCTACCGCGACTAGGTGACCACGAAGTCGCTACTTCGCTACTAGAAGGCCATGTCTGACTGTTTACCCCGTTAATTGACGTGTAAATCATCCGCGGGCAACTCACCGCGTGCTGCGCATACGTGGCGGTAACGAAAGGATTCGTGGCCGGCAGCTGTTGTGGACCGCCGCCGACCGCTGCCGCGGCACTTGGATAGCGCGTGTACGGCGGATATGCGGCTGCTGCCGCTGCTGCTGCAGCCGCGACCGCGTGAGAAGGCGCTGTATTCCAGCCGGCGGCACCACCGCCACCTCCGCCGCCACCGCCGCCACTGCTCGCACGGTATTGTTGTACCGGATTCCCACCACGCGGTCCGCCGCCGGTGTTGCTCTTTAATCCGTGGCCGCCGCCACCGCCGCCGCCGCCACCACCGCCACCGCCACCCGCACCACCAGCGGGTCCTACACCAACACCACCGGCATTGGCGGCACCACCCCCGCTGCCGCCACCACCACCGCCGCTGCCTCCGCCGGCGCCACCCGCGTTGCCGTTGTTGGCGCCCACGTAGGTCGGCCGAGGGCCGTTATTCTAAAAATTAAAAAAAAGTTTTCTATTAATAAAATTTTTTTAATTTATTTGCGATATAAATCTTCGATAATATAATAAAAATAGAATTTTATATAAGAATAGCTTCTTTATATTTTACATATAAAGGAAACATTGTATTGCGCGTATAGAATCGTAAACTGATTAAGCATGATACATTGTCGAGCTTATCAGCTTTGACACGGTATGTCATCTGATTCAAAAGCAAATATTAAAAAACGCTAACTATGCTTGTCAGTTAACTATGCGAATCCTCTAGTTTTAAGATTCAACTGAACGAAGATGCGCTCTTATCGCACGAGTCGACACTAATCTCTAAGAGATATAAAGAAAATTCTTATTTAATTTAAATAAATGAAATTTAAAATTTCCGAAAATAATTGCTATACTCTTATTATGACCAATGAATAACGTGGCAATAGTTTTCTAGAAAATTAAACAACGACAGAATTCAGCGTACGTACGTAGTGCAAAGATATTAATTCTTTATTATACATGTGTTTGTTGCATGTGCGCGTAATAAAACAAATAATTAACGCACGAAAGCAAAATCTAAATGTGTAAAAATAAACAAAAAGATTTAAAATATATTTTGAAATCTACACTATCAAACCCATGGAACAAAATTAATCCAATGTATAGCGCGAGAAGGACATACGATTGTTTACTTCGAATCATAAATTATCTAAACAAACAAGTTTGATACAGAGACGCACAACCGTTTAATCATCATTCAGTTTTCGTCAATTTTCTTAGTAGCACACTATTTTAGAAAGCAATGGTCTGGTTTCGCCAACCCCGTGTAGTTTCGCTTGCACACGTTGTGCACGTCGATAAAGAAAAGAGAGTGAGGGAATGAAAGAGCAAGAGAGAGAGAAAGAGAGAGACCCCACCCGTTATCGTTTATCAGTGACCTCGCGCGGTCACGCCTCTCTGATAACGAGAAAGAACAGCCAGCCGATGTAGCTCGGTCTCTCCCTTGCAACCTTCACCCTCTTCTTCTTCGCCTTCGCGCGCTCGACGCTTCATTCTCGCGAAGGTGCATTCTCAGAGAAGCACTTTTCTAACAGCATTTAAAAATGTCCGTATCGATCGCACGTCTACGAGAAATCCACGATCATCCAGATCTAATTTCAGCAACCTCGTGTATATATATATATATATATATGTGTGTGTGTGTGTACAAATACATACAAATTACCACTTTTCAATTTTCAATATTTCCTATTGCGTCACGAAAAAAAAAACGCTTTTTAAACTTTTTTAAATTTTTGTTCAAAGTAAAATCTACACTTAAAGAGCTCAACTAAAAAATTGTCACTTTATTGTTCATTCTTTCAAAGCTCTAATCTTCACAAGGCTCCTTCAATCGATTCTCTCTACAACGCAGTTGTGTTAAAAGAAATTAAATATATCTAATTTATTTTCACTAAAGAAAAATGCTGAAGAAACAAGAAAATCCGCGGTGTGCAATAAAAAACGTGCTCATAAATGCGAGACGTAGCCGATGCACCGGCGAAGCGACAAGTTAGACGAATGATTCGACTGTGGGTAATTGACAGTTACGTATGCGTATGGCGTAAACGCGGGCCCTCGGCAATGCCTCACTGCGAAATAGAGAACGACGTGCGAAATATGCGCGGTCGTATCGTGATCCGGCCAGAGAGATCGACCGACCGACCGGATGTCACTTCCTGCTCACCACGTCTGGCCGCGTCATCATCATCGTAACGTGAACTTCAGTTTGTCTGTGGCATCCCGCCCGCCCGCCCGCCCTTTTCCCATCATTTTTTTGTGACAAAGAAACGCCGGAAGGGATCCGTCCCAATGCTTTAACGGAGATACAAACTTGGCCGTCTACTTTCAACAAATCGACTTTCTAAGCCGCAAGATGTTGATATTCTGTGTGTTTACAAATGCATCTCGTGGCGTAACACGCGATCGCTCTCTTTCTTTAATAATTAATTCGTTTAATAATTAATTCTTTAATAAATAATCCGCGAAACTTTTTACTCGAAATTAAAAAATTATATATCTCGCGACTGTGTGAGATAAACAAAATGTAATTTGTTGCGCGCCGCTTTTTGCAAGACGCGCTGCACCGTGACTGCAACGTGAAGATGCGGTATGCAATTCGTTTCGCGAGACAAAAACGAGAGCGAGTGAATATATTTATCACGGTAACTGTATTATCCTATTTAGTAGCCGCGCTGCCGCCACTAATTGGACGCGCTCTACGTGCACCTATCTCTCGGCGCTTTCTTCCAAGGACGAAGAAGCGAGAGGGATGAGATCCAGGATATGCGCCACATACCGGAGAAATGCATATACGTGTGGCTACGCGAGAAAGATCTCTCCTTCTCTCCGATGTGTTACGCTCTATTAGCGAGCGGACACACGTGCTCACGTGACGTACTCCGGAATGCGCTTCTTCGATCTTTTCGTTTTATTTGAGAGAGAAAAATTACGTTTTTTTTTTCTCCTCCTCTCCCGTTATCGTGAAAATCTCGCGTGAGAAAAGTGACGTTGACTAAATTCTCAGCGCGATTACAATCTGTATAATAATAATAATAATAACTTGTTATTTAAATAAGAGTTCACGGATATAAAACTGATTACAAAATAACACGTTTGAAAAGTAAGTAAATGCTCGTGATAATATTGCCCGTATATGAATAATAATCATCATTATCGCGATTAATATTTCGTGAAGTGTTAGGCGCGAATTCATCGAGCGAGATAATCGCGAACACTCGATGCGCGCGTATTCTCTCTCTTCAAGGTGAAGAAACGGTATGCGTGGTATGCGTGCACTCGCGTGCGTTCGACGATCGAGGAGGAACTCTTTCGCGACCGAGAGAGCGGGTGTTGCAGCATTTCTCCATCAACATCCCGTTCGCACGCTGATTAAAGCTCTTGCACGCGCTAATCGTCTAAAATTAAAGCGACTAGTGCTACCGGTCTCTCTCCTCTCTTTCAACAATTTCTGGAAAAGTAAATTGTAACGTTAGAATTAAATCAAATTTATTATAAATGAAAAAAATTATTTTGCTCACGTTAATTAATTAACGGTTAATAGATTTATATTAATTAACAGTTTTACGACAATTTTCGCATCGAGTTACTTTCGAAAATTGGAACGGGATTTAAATGTCTTGGAGGGCGCGAGCGAGACAAGCTCTCGGGAATCGACTTGAGTGAGAGTGTATCGTTGTCCATCGGTGGTGCGCCCATCCACGAATGCATTACGTACATCGACACTAACATGTTATACGGGAAGGAAAGCTATGCACGCGTTTCGCGAACGTCACGTATCGTCTACGTGAGTGGTGGCATAAATGCGCGGCCAGAAGGCATGGGATGCATGCGCACGCAGAAGGATAATACATAACACACACACACACACACACACGCACAATGCGACGGATGGAACGATGACGAAAATTGTGACAGATAAGATTAGTACGTATATACGTACGAGATATCGCTTAAAAATAATGACAATAATAATTGATCTCGCGATTCTCCAATATCTTGATAAAAAAAATAATCTAATTTTTTCTTTCCAATTCTTTGCAAAATTTGTATGATAAATCAAAATAACAATCTTAAACTTTTTCTTTACAAGAAATTTTAGAAAGTGCGCTTCTATGAAATTAAAGTGTTTTCGTTGAGGTCGATAAAAAGGAGCAGACAAAGAGGAAGACGTAGCGCAGAAACGCACTGGCTGAACGTCTCGAATTTGACACCCTCATTCGAGTTTAGGCTGGCGATATTATTAGCCAACGCCGCGTGCTTCCGTCTCTTTATAGCGCATGGGGAAACAATACCGGCGCGAGATATATATTGATGATAACGGTGAAATGCCAGCTTTCGCCGGTTTCGCTCGCAGAACCGACATAAATTACGAGTTCGTGCCTCGATGGCGCGTCACACCTCGAGGATCGACGTTTTTAATAAATCGATCAATTTCTCAACGCTGCACATACATATCCCACGTCGTAGTTTTTCAGTGACGATGATTGTTCCGATTCGTGACTTTTCAGCTAGTCGTCTTTTCTCTTGGCTATGTCGGTTTTTTTTCAGCGAAAAAAAAAAGGATTTCCTAATATTTTTCAGAATAAAAATACGCAACTGTTAGAAAATCCTCGGATCGTAACCTAGATAAGATATTTTTTTGCGTGAGTTATTTTCAAGTTGCAAGATACTAAATACTAAAGTGTAGGCAAGTTGCAAAAACTTCAAAACACTGTAATAAATATCTTGAAGAAAAAAAAAAAAAAAAAAACAAGTTCCAAACTAGAGTTGAAGAAGCTTTTGAGATAAAAAAAGAACTTTTGCTACAATGAGATAAATGAAATTTTGACTGTCGTTAAAAACAAGGACATTTTTAGGACAACAACCTATCGAAGAATGGAATGCTATTGTTACCTAATTGCTTTCAAAATTCTAAGATACGATCTTAAAAGCACATTGTAGCATTCAGTCAATCAGGTTTCCCTTAATGTCCTATAAATCGTTTTCTTTTTCTTACAATTTGGTGGAAAAACTTTCAGATGCAGGTAGAAAGAAGTTCAAACGGACAATCCTGTTTCTTTCAGTGTTGTTATTAATGGTGCAATTCTATTGTGCACTTATTATACATCGTACTTATAAACAACATTATGTAATTGTATCCAGCATTTATCATTAAAAAAAATTCATATTTTACTCTCTTTAAAAATTTATATTCCATTTTTGAAATTCCTTTTGTATTTAAATCAGTATGTGCGTTTGTAAGTTACAAATTAAAAACAAAACTATTTTTAAAACAGCTTTATTTTGCGTAAGAGATATTCATTTGCCAAGAAAGTAATGTTATTTCATCAATTTTAAAGATTGCTTTTTGTTTGCAATTCAGAGAGTTTTACATGTTTTACATTTTAGATGTGATTGCATGACCACAATGCTGTAAACATCACGGTGCAAACACTGACGGTAAC